TCGGGGGACACAGGCGCTGGACGGGCTCCCTCTGTCCGGCTCCTCCTTGGCCTGGCCCAGCCAGGGCCCCCCAGCATTCGTCCCGTTGCCCACACTGTCGGCATTTCCGCAGAGAGTCCCGCAGAACTTCCTCCTCGGCCGGATCCTCAGTTCTGGGTGGACGTTCCCCCAGACCTTGGCCCCAAAGGCCCTGTCTTTTATGTGGATGCTCTGGTGAAGGTCCAAGTGGCGTTTGTCCGCAAAGCTGATCTCGCACATCGTGCATTCGTAGGGCCCCTCTTTGGCGTGGCTCCGCTGGTGGATGATGAGGTTGATTTTCAGACGGAAACGCTTCCCGCACTCGGTGCAGGGGGGCGACCACTCACGCACGTAGCCATTTGCCCATCAGCAGGCTGCTGCTTGCGCACCTGCTTGGCTTCTTCTTGCCCTTGGCCTTGGCGGGCTCACTTTTGGGGCACTTCTGGATCTCTGGGCCGGGAGAGGGTGCAGAAACCTCTTGCAAGGCCTCGGGTTCCTCCTCCTTCACCTTGACGTTTCCAGGAGGAGAAGCCCCTTCACAGGCCATTTCATTTCCCAGTAAAAAGCCTTCCTCTGAAACGGAACAACACAGGCATTGGTCATTCACGCTCCCAGGGCAAACCCAGGTCGTGGTTAAGTCCCAAAGCACTGAGCAGGCTTTTAGCAATAAAGGAGCTACCAACAAATCTGAGAACGCAGTTTGGAAAGGTGCGGGTGCCACCACAGCGTCCTGCCCACGTGCCCTGAGCAACCCAACGTGGTCTCAGGGGGCCGATCTCTTGCTCCCAGGAAGAACCAGGCTGTGGTCTGCTGCAGTGCCATCAGGGCCGGTGGCGCAAAGGGATCCACCTCTAAAACCCCGACACCAACGATGGCCACAAGATGTAGCAGGAGAAAAGGTCACTGAAAAGCAACAGCCTCCAGTACGTCAGGCTCTTCACTTCTATCAAGCTTGGGACTGCCAGCAAACGCCAAACATTGCAGGCAAACCGGCTCCGGTGAGGGCTGTGCAATGCCGAGGGTTGTGGCGAACCCTCCGCACCCCCCCGCAGCCAGGCCGTTCAGCCGGTGTGAGCCATTAGCCCGTTTAACTCTGCACCCCAGCGCCAGAAACAAGCTGCGGGTCCCTGGAAGAGGAAAAGTGCTCTGCGCGTTAGCTTGGCAAAGCTTCAGGACCAGAACAGAGGGTGTCTGCAGATGGCCGCCCCCCCTTCCTACACCCCCTGATCCCTCTGCTTCTGCCACGGAGAAGGCGGCTGTGCCACGGGAAGCATTAGGCATCCTGAGCTCAAGGCCAGCTCTACCATAACGCAGCAGAGCTGGAGGAAGGAAGCGTGCTACTGCTACCAGCTCTCCCCCAATTTCTGATAGAAGGAACCCCAACTGGACTTTGTTCTTTGTGCAGAGGTGATAGGGCTGAAAAGCCCAACACCAGCCCCCTCCCTTGCTCGGTGATAAAAAAGAGGTCTGAAACTTTCTTCTCCCTCCCCATTTCAAGCACGTTAGCGAGCTGGGAGCTGCTTCCTGCCTGCAGGGCCCCGTGTCTCCCCTGCACTGGGTTACTCACTGGTGCTGGACTCAGCCGGGTCGTCTTCCATCTCTGTCTCAGGCTCATCTTCCCTGCGTAGCTCCTCTTTTTGCGCGCTCAGGGACATGACATTCATCACCAGGATGGGGAGTTCTGTTTCCAAAGAAGAGCAATTTTAAACACCTTTGGTGTGATGCTAACCGGAGATGCGTTGGGAGCATGAGAAGAGCCAGAGAAAGCTGCAGCTCAAGAAGCCATGACATGTTGCGCCAGGGGAGGTTTCGATTGGATATTAGGAAAAATTTCTTCACCGAAAGGGTTGTCAAGCACTGGAACAGGCTGCCCAGGGAGTGGTGGAGTCACCATCCCTGGAGGTGTTTAAAAGATGTGTAGACGTGGTGCTTAGGGACATGGTTTGGTGGGACTTGGCAGTGTTAGGTTTATGGTTGGACTCGATCTTAAAGGTCTTTTCCAACCTAAATGATTCTATGATTCCATGGAAAGCATGCGAGGTGTTAGAAGGAACGGGAGCGAAGCCACACACAAGAACCAAAAGCAGAAGGAGGGCTGGGAGGAAAGACACCAAGGTGCCGCAAGCTGTCACCTCTGCAGAGCAACCTCATCCCTCCTAAACTCTCCCCAACTCTACAGGTAGTATTCCCATATTTCCTTGTGTTCAGGCCCTCGAACCCCTTCCATTTTCCCCGGCAGCACCTTGACAACGCACCCCAAGGCTTCTGCTTTTCCCTGGTGATGCTCCTCCTAAGAACGGTGGGAGACCTCCTGAGAGAGCTGGGACAGGAACGGCCCGGGGAAGCAAGTCCTCCTGGCACCCATGTAACTTACCTGTGTCAGCTTCCACAGGGACTTTATCTTCTCCCAAAGCCTCTTCCTTCTGGTCCATCTCTTCTGTTGTCTGTGGGGACTCCTGACCATCTCCAACGCTTGTCTGTGGGGACTCCAGACCATCTCCGATACGTGTCTGTGGGGACTCCTGACCGTCTCTGACGCAGAGCTCTTCATCCCTCTCGATCCGGGACAGGACGTCAGGCTTGGACACAGAACAGTCTGCTCACGGGGCGGAGGAGCAGAGGACAGCGTGTTTTATTAGGAACTGGCTACACCTTTATTCTGTCGAACTCTCAAAGTCACCCTCCTCTCCCTAATCCCAGATCTAGCAGGCAGTACAGACAGACACAAATATATTATCCATGCTCTAACCGGAAAGGCGGTGCTGCTTTCTTGGCCCTGTGGCAGGATCCACCCATGAGCACAGCCGTAGCTCAAGTACAGAGAGAATTTAAGTAAGAGAACATGAACTAAAATCTCAGAGAGGGAGAGCCTCTGTCTACACAACGTCTTTTTCCTCTCTTCCCAGCAGCACTTGACAAACCCCCAAACACACACCTGGGGCTCGTATCGTTTCTGGGTATCATTCCCCAAAGGGCAGAGCCTGCCCTGCCCTCTGCCCCCTCCAGTGCTCACCCGGCCTCTCCCGGGGCTTCTCTAACCCCCAACCCCTCAGTCCTGCAGGAAAGGGCTCTCGATCACAGCTCTGCCCGCACATTTCTTCTTCTCTTGGCTCTGGCAGGGTCTGCCTGTCCCTTCCCAGCACCTCCTACCTTTCTCGCCCAGCCTTCGCACTCGTAACAATTGATTTTTCCAGCTCTCCCATGCCATGCCCCAAGGCGATCCTGACCGCTTCTACTCCCCCCAGCACTAGCAGAGCTGCTTCAGCCTCCTCCTCCCACTGCAGGTTCCCAGATTCCTCACCTCCCACCACGTCTCCGCTCTCACCAAGGCAAGCAGAAGTGTTTTTGGAAGCCCTAAGGCTCATGCATGCAATCAGGTGAAGAAGGATTCCTGAACTGCACAGAAACAGGACTGGAAGGGATCACAAGAGGTCTGCCCCACTGCTCCAGACTCCATCCCAGCCCCTCCTGACAGGCTTTGTCTGGTTTTGTCCACAGGATTCATCTGACCAAGCACAAACGTTCCTCTTGGAAGAAAGACTCAAGGTGCTCCGTGGAGGTTTAGTCAATACAGTCAACAGACCCTCAGAGCAGTTCGTTTCTAACAAAGACGCTGCTGGGAGACCTCCTGACAAAGCTGAGACAGGAACTGCCACCTTCTGCCGGCACCCACCTAACTTACCTGTGTCAGCTTCCACAGGGACTTCATCTTCTCCCAAAGCCTCTCCCATCTGGTCCGTCTCTTCTGGTATCTGTGGGGGCTCCTGACCTTCTCTGGTACATGCCCGTGGGGCCTCCTGGCCGTCTTCGATGTGTGTCTGCGGGGACTCCTGACCGACTTTGACGCAGAGCTCTTCATCCCTCTCGATCCGGGACAGGATGTCAGGCTTGGACACAGCATAGTCTGCTCACGGGGCGGAGGAGCAGAGGACAGCGTGTTTTGTGAGGAACTGGCTACAGCTTCATTCTGTCGAACTCTCAAACGTTTCAAAGTCACCCTTCTCTCCCTAACCCCGGATCTAGCAGGCAGTAGAGACAGACGCAAACTAATTATCCATGCTCTAACCAGAAAGGTGGTGCTGCTTTCTTGGCCCTGTGGCAGGATCCACACAGCTGTAGCTCAAGTACAGAGAGAATCTAAATAGCAGAACATGAACTAAAATCTTAAAGGAGAGGGAAAGGCTTTGTCTTTAACATTTTCCTCCCATTTCAACTTTAGCAGTGATTTGAAGAGCAACTCTTCTGAGCTATTGCTCTGGAGCAGGGACAGAAAACTTCCTGCTCTGTAGAGAAGTCTGTGTCAGACGGACCACGAAAGGAACAGGTTTGTTCTGTTTCTACAAAATACTATTGAGGAAAGTGAAGCCTCAAGTTCAGTAGCGGCACAACCAGCACGTTACTAGTCATGGCCAAGAAACAGCTTTTGGCGGGGAATATCTTACAGCCCAAATCATCCAAGAACATGTTGGGTGCCCTTGGAAGGACCGAGCACGATTAGGTTAGTTCTTTACCAAGGTACGTGGAAACTTTACATAGGAGCTAAATAGACAGAAAACAAGGACTAGTTCAAGATGCAATTATCAAACTTCACCCAGATAATTCCTGAACTGTGCTGGAAGATCACGATGGTTCCCTGACCCTGGAATCCACTTACATAGTCATGAGGAACACCATCTCACGTGGATATTTTTTATTATTGATTTTACTTGTATTACTACCACTACTATTATGTACTACAGATATCTCTTACATTGTTTATCGCTTTACAAGCAGGAAGGAGGGAAAATGTGTGGGCCTGACTGCCCAGGAGAGGTTCTGCTAGCTACAGGCGTCCAGACCATCAGTCGGGCTGCAGTGGGAAGCAGTCCAGCCTACCCGCGAGAGAAGCTCATCCCGAGGCGCAAACCCTGTGCCTTACCCAGGGAGATCAGCGTCTCGTAGTTCCCCCTCATCACAGCCCTGTACAGATCCTTCTGCCAGCGGTCCAGTCTCTCCCACTCCTGCTCGTTGAAGTACACAGAAATGTCATCGAACGTGACCGGTACCTGGAATCACAAGTATTACGTGCTTGGTGACTTCTGATGCGGTTAGATAACTGGAAACCACGCACGTAAAAGTGCTTGGCTTCGGTTGCCGGAGCTCAGGGCAGGCACGGAGCAAAGCGTGCCTGGCCAGGTCAGGGCTTGTAAGCGGCAAGTCCAGGACTCGCAGGTGCTCAGCCACCCAAGCCCACTGCTAAGATCGCTCTGGCATTTCCTAAACCCCCTCCACAGCCACGGCGGTGGCACTGGCGCTTCCAGGGGCCAGGCCGGACGCCGTTACCTTGGGGACCTCGCCCCGGGAGCTGG